AATATTTTTTAATATTCTGCTCTGACTGAATTATTTGAAAAGCAATAAGAATAGTTTAAAAGTGCACAGTATTTAAACAGCACAAAGTAATTTCTTATCCTTCTAATGTGATGAAACAATGAAAATTGAAAATCTAGTGGCAATAAGTTTTGTGCCTGGCAAATATTTGCATTGACAACACTGTATTTATCATCACAGAAGAATTATATTAGTAGATATTGTAGCAGAAGTCATTCTAAGTTTTACACCATAATGAGAGGAGTTATTCTAGAACTGCAGGATACTTTGTCAAAAGCTTTCACAGGATCATTTAGCTTAGAAAAGACCTTTAAGATGGAGTCCAACCATCACACTCTGAAGCAGACCACTGCACTCAGTGCCACATCCAGAGGTCTCTTGAGCATGTCCAGGGATGGCAATTCCAGCATCTCCCTGGGCAGCCTGCCCTGGTGTTTAACAACCCTTTCTGTGAAGAGACCCTTCCTGAGAATTCCTTTCTGGAATGTGAAAATATTCTCCTACCATAAACTGACAAAGCTGGGCAGTCTTACAGACACAGAGTCCCAACAGCAGCCTAAATTCATTTAGAGGTAAGATTTTAAAAGGTTGGCTGTTCAGAGCATCAAAAACATTCAGCACCCACCCATCACTAAGTTCAGTTCAATAGTGAGCACTCAGAGCTTTGGGAAATCAGGCCCCGTACGTGTGCAGAACATCAATTGGGTCACAAATGTTGTGTAATTGAAGGATCAGTCAATCCCCTGCGGGCGTGCCGGCCCCGGCCCCGCTGCAGAGCGCGGATTAAATCCCACAGCAGCGGGGCTGTCATGGCTAAACCCAGCCTCTAGAGGACAGAAGCAGCCCAGCACTTTCCTAGGCAGTTCAAACACAGATTAAAACCGTTTCAAAATGAATGACTTTAAAGCCTTAATTTATATGGAAGAGCCAAATAAACAGCCACCGACTTTTAGTGCAGAATATTTTATCTGCTAGCTTCTTCATTTCCTTAATATGGTATCATTCATAGAAACTGAATCACAAGATATTTTGGAGTATTACTATGATCCATACAATAAAATTCTAAAGATTAAAAGTAGGAAATCTATCAATAAAATATTTTTTTTCATTTTCATTTTATAAAACATAATTTGGTTATACAGACAAGAGAATGCTCCAGCATGTAGAAATTGTGGTCGGGCACTTAAAACCTTGGAAGTAGTAAAATGTCATGGACTGGTAAAATAAAATTCAGTTCTAAGAGAGCAAGGAAGGATCAGAGAAAAAGAAGGTGCAATAATTGAGTTGATACAAGGTTATGGATTTTTTTTAAAGGTCACAATGAGATAATGAGTTTGAAACACATGCAATTTAAAAATTGCAAAGTCCCAAAATTTCATAGTGATTAATAACAAGACTAATGACATAGATAATTTTTAATGAAGGGGACTATCTTATACCACCTGCCTATTTCTGTCCTTCAAGCCATCCTAGTGGCAGAGAAAAACCTGGTTTAGGAGCTAGGAGAAAAAAATCCTGGAACATAAATGCAGAAAGAAGGAATATTTACTTCTCTTTCAGTCTAGGTGTTGTATCAATTTTACTGGTCACACATACACATCCTTACAACATCCCAAGCCAGATCACCCTGCCTGATATTTAATATCAAAAGCACTACCTGCACCTGTGTGATTCCACAACATACTCTGTCTGCTCAAGATGCTGAACTTCACACTGATTCCCAACATGGATCAAAACACACTTGCAAAATCTGTCCTTTCACTGCTTTTTTGTTCTTTTTTCCTTTTATTTTTTAAGGCACAAGCAATGCAGTGCTTATTCTGTCACTCTAATACCAGCCCCACAGCACATCCATGTGATCAAATGTAAAACATACCCAGGGGTCTGAAAGTCACTGGCAATCACAGCCAGCTACACCAAAGCCCATATCCCTAAGCATTTTTCATCATGTTCTTACCTCCTTGCTTAAAGAGTGTCCTACAAAAAAATATGTATTAAAAGAAATCCAATTTATTGCTGTTTCTAAACTCAACAAGTACATGATTAATTTTCCATTTGTTAGTTAATCCAAGAAAGCAAAACTTCAGTGGCAACACTGGGCCATGCAAGGCAACACTTCACCCTTCCTGGGATTCTCCTGAAAATGCTGCTGGCCACCAGTATCAGCTTTGGGTGCCCAGAATAGACAGACTGGTTTCCATATTTTCTGTAGCCCTTTCCCCTCATGTCACACAAGTCCAGGCACTATTCCCCCACAAAGGAACCTAGAACTGAAGGCTGTTCAGCAGCTCTGGTTTCCTCTCCCTCATTGTGACCACAAGAATTCCCTTTCTGAAGCAATCAGGTGGGATCCTTATGCCCCCCAAGAGGTTGAACAGCCCCAGCTCCCTCTCATATAATGATTATTGTACTTTGTCTTTTTACTCTTTCATTATCAAATACATAAACAAGATACTATAAATTGCTCATATAAAATAACAGAATGCCACTTTGATTCAAGATGAATCCATTAAACAAATAACAGGGCATGAAATAATAATTCAGGTCAATCACTATAGCTCCAAAGTATTTTTAAAAATAAAATACCTTATATTTCCCATCCAATTATGCAAGTCCTTTAAAATAAAGGACAAAGATCATCAATCTAACAATTAATATGGAAACTAAATCAATCCAAGGAATGGAAGAGCAGGGCTGGATTCCAGCATGCAGGGTGGCCTCCCCCATTGCTGCTCCTGCACAGCAAACACAACTGTCACACCCATTGCCAAGGCAGCCCTGCATATTGCCAGGACAAGACAAAGACCCTGTGAAGTCCAGACTAACACTTCTCAAGGTAAAAAAAAATCCAGCTGTATTTGAGAAAGTGATGGGCACAATTTAAACCCATGCTGGCCAAAACAGGTATAAATGTAAAGTGAGAGGCTCTTTTTTGACTTGCTGATTCCTTTACTCTGGGAAGAACAAGCTAAACGAAATGAAGCAAATAATGCAACTCTGCTTTTAAATTCTTTTCCCCTTAGCACTGTGTGGGACACTGCTAGCACCTCACACTAAAGATCCTGCTGGTAACATTTGCTAATGGAGAGCAGGATACCAGGGCTGGGGCTATTATTATTCTGCCACTGTTCTACAGCTTCTCTTAAATTGCTTTGTCAGACTTCCGTCACTTGAGACCAGTTCCATTAGAGCAGACCTTAGGTGAATTTAGGTATTTGCCAGATAATAGAGTAGGGTTCTTAAGCAATCAATCTGTACAGATTAGTCTAATCTGCTGCTGCTGGAAACTTTGTTTCCAGAAGCAAAGTAGACAATAGTTTCAAATTACCTGCAATGAGGTTAAGCTATGGGCAATATACGTTTTGAGGTGTGAAGAAAAACAAAATAAAAGAATGCATTCCCAATATTGTCTTTGCCTTTACCAGATCAGGGAGGTATCTGAATTGAGATTTCAATTTCTCTAAAAACTATTCCTAATGGATCTGGCTCAATTTAAATTGCTTTACTCATGGTTCTCTTAAGTATTTTGGAATGCAGGATACAACAGAATTTGGTTAGGAATGTTATTTCACAAATCCAATAAAGCACAAAAAATAATGTTTCAATATCAGATAAAAGTTTGTTATTTCCATATTAAAATAACATTTCCAGGAGCAAAGCCAAACAATTAAAGATTTTTAGGGTTCTGCATAAAAGTGAAGGCAATGAGCCAATGAAGATAAAAACATGGAAGGGCCAATATCTGTCACCCAGTTCTAGAGTAATGCAGTTTTCCAGTGATATTTTTCAGAAAATATAGAAATGTTTTTTATTTAATCTCTTGTAGCTCAAACTATAATTCAAAATAGTAAGTAAGGACTGTCAGATCATCCCTCCCTTTAGCTTTTCCTAGTATGAGACTACATAAAATGATTTTTTCTATCACCCTATTTTATCAACTTACCTTTCATCCTATTGGACAACAGCTGTGGATACAAGCATGAAGAAAGGAAGAGCAATAAATTTTGTCTGTTCATGAGATAATGTGGAATTTATGTTGAGCAAGAAACACAGGCTGGAGTCTCACTGAAGGTCACCAGCACATGAGGCAAGTGCTTAGAGCCCTGCTGAACAAAGAGCAGCATCAACCTGAACTTACAATGTTTCCCTGCCTTGTGCCCATGAATAAAGACTTGAGGGGTTTTTTTTGGTATATGGCTCTCCTTGACTTTAGGTACAAAATCAAATATGAGGATAATTAACTTTCATGTATTGTTTGATAAAAATGAATTCAACACCCTAAAATAAATGGCAATGATCTGGATATCTGGTCTGGCCCCACTGATCTGATGCCATGACATGCTACATTCTGTCATTAAAAGATAATAGGGCAATTTCCATAACTGGAACAGATATACTGACAAGAGAGGAGATAACCAAGTTAGAGAATTAAATAGGCAAATAACCTAAATTAATTAAAATTACATAAAAAGATTATAATTGTCAGCTTCTTTTAACTGAGCAATGGTTAAAAGTGAAGTCAGTTGAATATTAGTCCTTCCATTGGAGACACCTTTTTCTAAAATTATCTTATTTATGAAATCTATCATATTCTTTATAAATAAGCTATTTAAACTGCAATGCAACAAACTGTTCCCTGTAGCAAAATCTATTTTGCATACAGTTTATTTCAGACTTGAAACAGACTTCTTCTAAAACCAGAAAGCTTGTCAAGTCATCTGCAGTAATTCATAATAGGTGAAATTCTTGTGCAACCTAGGGTTTGCATTGTTTTAAACTGCAAAAATATCTCAAAATCTCTGAAAATACTTACTCAAGTATATGTAGGAAAAGTTCACTTTTTCCACAAAAAGTAGATTAGAATAATACTTCAAGTATTTAGAGTTTATTTAAATGAAAATTATAATAAACTTTCAAATCTGGGCATAAAATCATAATTACTATATCATTACTTAATACAGGTTATGAACAATTCTTCATTTTCTGTAGCAGTACAGTAACAGCAAACCATCCTTCCTTCTACTCCAGCAGGCTGGAGGTGAAAGTATTTTTCACCATTAGAAACTGAGATTCTCTGTGTGATCTTTTCAGCTTTGCACGACGGTTCTGAAACCAGATCTGAAATGGAAAGAGAAGGGAAGCTTTTCAGAAACACAGCAGTGGAAGCAGAATAATATTTGAAACTTAAAAGTATTCACACAGTAGGACAATATTTTGTGTGATGACAGCAGCTTGCAAGTTCAATATAAATTTAAAATCTGCAGATGCCTGTAATTTTAACACCACAGACAAAGAAAATAATACCCCCAGGTTAACTGGAAAATGAGATCAGCTTCACTGTAATTAATATAAAAACTGGTATTAAATTCAGTGACAGAATCAAATCCTGGAAGATCCTGAACATCTGGAATTCACACATGTCTCATGGTGCTATTTCTTCATCTGCTTAACTATTTGCAGCATCAAGTTTCTCATGAAGCCCAATATAATAATTGCAACAAAAGCCTGATAAACAACAAAGCAAAGCCCAAATTCTTATGTTTACAGTGTGCTTCTTATCACATGGAATTACCTGGAAATCAATAATTAATATTCCTGAATAGATTTTGCTTTTGGCCAGAGAAAGACATAGGTTCAAACACAGGTTTAACACATCTATGCTCTGCTGGCAGTCTCACAAATTATGTCCATGCCTGTTTCGAATTTATTTTTCAAATACGATGACAAGCAAAACATAAAAATTATTTTAAGGAAATTATCAAGTTCTGCAGATAATAACTAGAGATTAACAGAGCAGATATTGTGGCAATATTACAGTGATTAATTCCTCATCAGTGCTATGGAAGGATTTAGATTTCAGAAGGAATTCAATGGTTTCCATTTCACAAATCATTGAAGGCATGTTTCTTGTATATACATTGGTTTAAATTGAGAGCATTAAATTCTCATCACTGCTGTCAAACCACTTATGTATATAAGCAGAGAGTACATATAGCTGGAATTACAGGAAAGTTCAATAAGTCTTTAATTACCTGGATCCTGTCTTCATCTAAATCTAATTTGCGAGCTAGCTCTTCTCTAATATCAATGCCAGGGTAGGAGTTCATTTTAAAAACATTTTCCAAGACTTCAATCTGAGGAGATTAAAATACACTTGTTGAATAGTTAACACTATGTTCATAGCAGTAATACATAAAATAAATAAAATAACAGCTCAGTTTGTTCAACAGGAGACTTCTGATCAGTGTTTGCACAATGATTCCATGCATACACACAGATCTGCTGAAATTAGCAACATTCCTGTTAATTTGCACTAGTTCTTGATGACATTTCTCTCCGCAGAGGTACATCACACTGAACTTAGCAGCTGTTAGAGGTTCCTTCCAACATTTTACTCAACTACATTGTTACCCATTTGTTAGATGCTAAGGAAAGCCCTACCTGGTTTCTAGTGAATGCAGTTCTTGGTCTTCTACCCCGGTACCAGCTCAATTCTCGTTTGAAAGACAGCCTTTCAGTGACTGAAAAATATTTTTCACATTTCAAAACGTTTTCCTCTTGCACTGGATCACTTCTAGCATGAAATAATGGATTTTCATAGCAAACAACAGGGATTTGCAGATGGGGATTACTGTCATCACCTAAAACTAGACAGAGCAAGAAAAGGAGAGCTTCAGTTTACTGGTCTGTAGTAGAAACTCGCCAGTATTTTTAAGGGGTAAGAACTGAAGGGGGTCCAAAACAGACTGACTCACCCAAGCCGGTGCATGCATCCACCCAGGGTCTGTGAGGTTTCCCAGCTGGAATGCCATCTTTTTTCTGCTCCAGCCCCAATATTCTCTCAATTGAGAAGGAGCAGGGCGTGCTTTTGCTGTCGCCAAAGGCGGGCACCTTGTGGCGCTGCGGAGAGGCCGCCGTGGCGGCAGCACAGAGCGAGGGAGCGGCCATGCCTTCGCCCGCAGCCAGCATAGCAGGGGCACTGCGCCTGCATTGCTCCACAAGGCCTCCTTATAGCTATGTTGACAAGGGGGTTGGATTTGTAACGTCATTAATTAAAATCTTTTATTAGAAAGTTTTAGCATGTCAATGAAAACTCTCCCACCAAGAGGCACGAGGAGTTAATTGTTTATTTGTTTGCAAGTAATTAGCAACTAATGGTGACACTAGGGGGGCCACCAAGGGGGACAAAAAGTGTTATCTCTCCTAACCAGAGCATCGACTTCACTTTCTCAAAAGAAGCTGTGCACAAATATGGTACTTTTCTTTTATTTGAAATCATTAATGTATAAAATCAGTTTTTTAAAAAACTTTATACTCTAATGGACTCCACTTACCTAAACATAGAAGCGTGATAGGAAACCAGTCAAGTAATAAGTAATCTCATTTAAGTGAATTTCCTTCCAAGGAAATTTAAAAAATAATCTCTTAATGCTATTAGGGTAATCCCGATGAAAATGCCTCTGTTTTTTCATATGCATATGTAATGGTGAACGTGGTCAATAAAACAACAATAGCTTTTGGCATAAGGCACTGTGCAGTGGGTTGGCAGTGTTGTCAAAGCTCAGTGTAATTGCCTTCCAAGTGCCTGGATTAGTTAATAGGAACAGTTGCACCAACTATTTTAAATAATTCATGCATTCATTTTTCTTATTAAAATAACTTTGTTGCAGCCTTTTTGAAACGTACCAGAAGTGAAATTTCCTGATAATTCTTCACCACATAAAAGCAAAACTTCACATAATAGAAGCAGTACACTCAAATTTACAGGTTTAAAAGATGCAGAGGTATTCTTCAATTCATTACAATTACATTTGTTTTAGTCAATTTTGTAGCTCAAGTAAAACTTTTTCTCATAGATGTCTCTCCCTCCTTGTAGGTTTATAGCAAACAGAAGTATGTTTAAATCCTACAGAGCCAACACTTAAAATCACACAAAAAAGTTATGAGTAATGGGAAGAAAGGAGATAAAGGCTTTGTAATAAAGTCTGACAGAATTCTGATTTCATCCATTATAATAAAATACAGACTATAACATTTTTATATTCAAGCTCATCTGTCAGTCACACCGCAGTTTACATCACATGCTTAAAACCAGCTTTTGGTTCAGGCAAAGAAAAGGAGGAATTTCTGTAGAGACACTACAAAATCAAGATTTGTCAAAAAAAACCCAGGCAAACATGAACACAATATTTTTATTTCAGGCAGAAAAGTTACCCCTCCTTCTGGCCTCTGTGTTGTGCAGTAAGGTTGTTGTCAAACCAAACTATTAAAGGAGTGACACTTGCAGAAGTGACCTTACCAAGGACACTTGTCACACATGTCAGTGGATCTTCAAGCAGCAGGCATCCACCTGCAATGTTCACTTGCAAGATGAGCTCCAGTCACCGTTCATGGACCTTAAGCCTTCCCTGAAAGCTGAATTTCATTGTTTTGGCCCATCAGTATTGAGCAATGCTACCTTGCAACCCATTTGAAATTACCAATGGACTTTTAACTGAATACCTTGGTAAGGGGTAATTACAGCAACACAGCAAACAGTAAGTTGGGAATCCTAAGTAAGCAATAATAGGAAAAGTCACTGCTCCTTGGATATGCAAATCCAATCCTCTTACAGCATCACATACTTGATGAGGCAGGAAACTAATCACCCTTTCAGACTTTGCACCACTGGTTTTTGCCCAGGGACAGTGGAGTTCATCTCTTTAGGAGATGGAGCTCTGTTCTGGCTGTTTGCAGCAGCTGAGGAGGCCACACTGAGAGCTCTTGGGGGCTTTGGTCTGAAGGCCCAGCTCTTACCCTTGCTGCCCTCTGCCCTTCTCACCCACTGCTGGGTCACCTTGCACTGGAGCCTGGGCAACATTTTCAGCTTTTAAAAGGGTATAAATGATACATATATATTATCTTTCTTCATTACTTACCACACTCCAAAAATTTGCCTTTCCCACAACCTCTTTACCCAGTATCTCACCATCTCAGAAGTCATGCTGCATAAAGCTCTCTTTCCAATAAGTTTTTAACATGAATAACAAGTATTATATTCAAAGCCAAGTTCAGAATTCCCAAGGTTTTTTTTAAAGCAAGAATATCCTAAAATGGTAACACCAATTTTCACAAAACAAAAGCAGTTAGCTGTTTCCTAGTTGAAGTAAAAGCTATTTTGACACAGGGAGGTCAAGTGAATGCAGGTAAATTCAAGGTTAATCCAAGGTTGCTACTAGTAAAAGTATGAGAAACAGTGTGTTTAAAAGTGGAAGACACTGCAAATAAAGCCTACCTTACCCACACAGCTCCAGCAGGGGCAGAATGTTCTCTCCATAAGGGCACACATCTGGAATCCTCTGAAGATCTGTTCACTGCTCTTCTCTCTGGTGACAAAGTGCCAAGTCTTAGTTCCCCACATTTTTAAGGCTTCATAGCAGATATTTTGCAGAAAAAACAAGAACAAAACATAACAAACAGGAATCAACAACCCCTCCCCAAAAAGCCCCAAACCAAACAAAAAACCCAACCTCACAAATCAAAAAGCCCAAACAACAACAAAAAACCCTCACACACTAACAAAAGGTCTACAGTGCTGAAAACAGAGTAACACCAAAACCACAATTAGAGGATGCAGAGGGATTCTTCATTGCTATTACATTTGTTGCAGTCAAATTTGTAGCTCAAGTAAAACTTTTGGATGCCACTTACAGCTGTAAACACACAAAGCTAACTAAACCCAATCCACTTAAAGTGACCACCTTCCTGAATTCCACAGGAAAACGATCTTACAGCACAAAACAAAGTCATTCTTATTGCTGTAAAGGCTGCTGTGAAGCTTGGTCACAAGTTAACTGTCTCAAAACCACAAAGCACATACATTTATTGCTCATGAACCAATGTTAATGTCCTGTCACAGGGCTGCAGATACAAGACTTAATCTTTAAAACGCCTTGTAAGATAACCCTGAGTTATTATCCTTATTGACAGGGAAAAGGGAGAGGTGCTGTGACTTGCTTCAGTCAGGTGAGTCACCAGCTGAGCTGGCAAATTAATTGACTGAACAGTATTAACTTGGAAATTTCTTCACCACTCCCTACAGGAAAAAACAAAACAACACAACAGCAAAAAACAAAAACAAAAACCCAAAACCCACCCACCACCCATCAAAAAACCCAAACCAACAAACAAAAGAAAAGCCATCTCAAAAATCTTTAATTGTTTGTGATTTAACACACCAGTCCTGTCCTTTATCTGCTTTTAATGGTAAATCATAACCTGATACAACATAAAGAATGGTCTCATAGCAAGACTGCACAATCATTAATCATTTGCCCTGCTGAACGACTTCATGCACTTTCTAATCTGGTCTTGGACTAGGTTCACCTGGTCCCAAAAAGGCAAAACCAACAAGGGAATAGGTTTTTGTTTTGGTTTTGTTTTTCCCCAGCTAAAAATTATCATCAAGTCTACTACGATTAAACTACCTGACAGGAGGTTGTAGCCAGGTGGGGGTCAGTCTCTTCTCCCAGGTAACAAGTGACAGGACCAGAGGAAACAGCCTCAAGTTGTGCCAGGAGATGTTTAGGTTGGATATTGGGAAAAGTTTCTCCATGGGCAGGGTGGCACTGACAATCACCATCCCTGAAGTGTTCACATGTGAGGATGTGGCACCTGGGCACATGGTTTAGTGGTGAACACGGGCTCCTGGGTTAATGGCTGGATCTATGATTTAAAGGTCTTTTCCAACCTTAGGGATTCTAAAATTCTAAGTAATTTCAGAGCTGAATCAGTTCACAAGTCCAAGCAATGATCTGTTTTGATTTCAGTGAGCCCTCACAGTAGTTTTAAGCATTTAAAATTTGCCACCAGCCTATGGCACCACAATTATTCAGACCAAGAGAGCAGAGAGATTATTTTTTAATATCTAATCAGAATCTCTCCTGCTTCAGCTTAAGGCCTCTTGTCGTCTCACTGCAAGCACAGTAGAAGTGACTGGCCTCCACCTGGGGCCCACCCACACGGCAGGGATAAGAGGAGACTTGCCAAAAAGAATGCTCCAGAAAAGAGCGTCAAAGGTGCTCCAGATAACGTGGCAAGAGTGCCAAAGATGCTCCAGACCCAACAGCGCTCCCTCGCTGAGGAGCGGCCCTCAAGGTAATTGTCTGTGAGGAGACCACAGCAACCACCGGAGCACAAACAGGGCTGGGAGGGCACTTTGCTTGACAGCCGTGACTCGCATTGCCGAGCAGTCACCTCAGCGGGGACACGGCCCCAGCTGCCTCCGCAGCGCTCCCCGCACGGAGCCGCTCCCCGCACGGAGCCGCTCCCCGCACGGAGCCGCTCCCCGCACGGAGCCGCTCCCGGGACGCCGCCAGAGCCTCGGCCCAGAGGGGCCGGGCGCGAGCGCCTCATCCCCCGCGCCTGCGCGTGAACGGACAGGCCCGCCAGCCAATGGGCAGCCGGGTGGGAGGGGAGGGCTGGCCAATGAGGAAGCCGGGCGCGCCAGTGGGGAAGCCGGGCGCGCCAATGGGGAAGCGGGGCCCGAGGGGGGCGGGACGTCCGGCGCGCGGCGGGCGGGGGTCGGTGCGGGTCGGTCCGGCCGGGCCGGCGCTGGGGCAGCGGAGCCGCGGGGGCTCAGCGCGGTGGCCGCCATGCCCGGCATCGATAAACTGCCCATCGAGGAGACGCTGGAGGACAGCCCGCAGGTGAGACAGGCCCGGCGGAGGCCGCATCGGGCCCAGCCCCTGCTGGCGGGCCCAGCGCTGCTTCCCTGTGGTTCCCGGCCCCGAGAGCCGCGGCGGTGGCGGGAGGGAGGGTGGCGCCCCAGCAGCGCGGCGGGGACGCTGCCCGCACGGCCCCGCGGGCTCCCACAGTGTCGGCTCGGGCTCTCCGCCCCGGCCGTGCCCCGCCAAGGCCCGCTTGGAGCTCCGCTGGCCCCCCCGCCGCTCCCGGGAGTGCCGCGGGCCGGGAGCGGGGCTGGGGCTCCGGGCCCGGGTGCTGCGGCACCTCCGGCGGGGCAGTGCCGCCACCAGCACCGCTCTCTGACCCCCGCCCCCGCCTTCGCACTCAGGCTCGATACGGACACGTCCTGACCACAAAACTCGCGTTGCCCTCTCAAACCATTTTCCCCCTTGTTTTTCAGCAAGGCGCGTTAAGGTTTAGCAGAGCCGTGCGAGCGGCGGGGCTGGGTGAGGTTACCGCGCTTAGTGCGGAGCGCGGGCGGGAGCACACGGTGCCCTCCGTGCTCCGAGCCTTGCCTCGCATCGCTGCCCCCCGATGTGACAGCCATGCTCTGTAGTGCGCTGGAGTTCCTTTCTGAAGTAGGAAATGCTTTATTCTGTGGCTCTGGTTTCTCTTGCTGGCAGTAACAATAGCAAGTTCTTGTACTGTATTTCTTAGATGTTGGAGAAAGTTTGCAATGTATTTTCTTTTATGGCAGCCTTTGGAATTAAGATCCTTGTTCTGGTGCATGCTTGACATAGTGAGCAGTTTGTCCTGTACTGCAATAGCATGTGCATTGGTAGTTTCAATTCCTTGGTCATAGGAGAGTTTCTGCTCACACTGATCTGCATTCCCAAAGCATTGCACAACAAAAAAGCCAAGAGACTGGAAGCACAGGCTGGGTCTGCTGTCACCTGCAGTGGCCTCCATCTGATGGCATAGAAGGCTTAAAACACTTCTAATAAGGGGTTTCTTTGTGCAGCTTCTCCCTGGTCCTTTCCTGTTTGCTTGCTCACAAACACGGATTGAGAGAATGCTAAAGAAAATGCAAAATGATGCAGAGTTTTACTGGAAACATAAGTAAACAATTGCTCTCATTTTCCGCTAAGCAGAAATCTGCCATAACTTATTTACAGTTTCAGGTTAATTTCTTTCCATCAGTATTGTATGATGTTGTTTTGATGGTTGGACATCAATAACTGACATTTTTAAAGTAAAACATAAAGATATTTTTTTCCATGGTCAGTTGTAAAGAGTTAGTATAATCCAGAAACCTTACATAATAGTCCTTTAAAAATCCAAGCTCAGGTTTATTTATGTTCAGGTTTAAAGGTCATGGGTATATAATTCAATGGTTATAGTACCATGTAATTTTTGCTTTTGCATTCTTGCATGTATCTCTGCCTTAATGGGAGAGTCAAGGTTGTTAGGATGACACATGTTGCCACACCTGGCAAAGATTTGAGTTCTCCTTCACCTCTTTCCACTTGATTTATAAACTAGAACCAGCATTAAAGCTATTTTTGTGCTGATTATGCTGTTTGATTATATTTTTTAATATTTAAATAGCACTTAGACATGATATAGCAAGACAGTAATTGTGATACAGCCAGGCATCTAATTCAACTTAAATAAAAGAATCTTATGTCAGAAGGAATTATTAAATAATATACTTTATGTGGGTTTAATAAGTCCTCTTTGATTATCATTAAAAGCAAAACATCAGAAATAGCTGAAAAAGACCTTCATGCTTCAAGGGGAGATGGACTAAAGACTTCAGTAATTTCAAGACAGCCTAGGGAAGACTAAAAAGTAGAATTTCCAATTTCAAGTGTTTAACAATCATAGTTTGGGGAAAAAACAATTATGTGCTTATGATTCTTTTCATTTTCTGCCTGGACATTAACTTTGGTGTAAACCTAGAAACAAAGGATGGTCCTTTTGCTAACACATTGCCAAGGTGTTTCCTTTGTGGCTCTTGCAAGCACTGCTCCTGCTTCTTCAGCCAAGCATCCCAACAGTGTTTTAAGAAAAGCCAGTGTGGCTGTGCAGAGTTACTGGTACATCCTCTGCTTTTCCCCCTTTGGGATTTTTGGTGGAAGGAAGCCATTCAAAACCCTCATGGTGAGGAGGAATAACCTTGCTTCCAAGTGCAAAAAGGATGCAAGAACACGCAGTCAGCATCTCATTTAAGCTTACAGGCAAATTACACCTGAGCAACCTGATTGCCTTGTTGTGGAGTCAGTCCCTTGGCAGGAGGGAGAGCAGGGCATGTCAGTCACCCTGGCTTATGCAGGGACTCTGACATGGCCTGGCAGCTTCTTCTGGCCAAAAGGGAGAGGTATGGACTGTGACCTGAGTGGTGAAACTGCCTGGGTAGTTGGGCTTAGATGGAGATCAGTTTTAGTCTAATAGGTGACCAGTGATAAAAGAGGTTGATTTTTGAGGTGGAGGTTGTTAAGCACCATCAGTGATGCACACAGGAGTCATCAGGCTTGTGGGTGACACCAGCTAAAGAACAGACAGACTGATAAGCTGGGTAAGGACAGATCTTTTCACTCCCTTTCAGTGGTGAGAAATATGTATGTTGAGGACAGTCAGATGCAGGTTGTATTGTTTGTTTTGGTTTGGTGTAGTTCCTCAACCTTTTGATCACAGAATTGATAGTTATTCCACAGGTAAGTTACAGGTCCAAGCACAACCAGCAGGTGTCTGTGTTCAGGTTGGACAGTATGAGACAGTGACAGCCTTTATTTGGATCTCACTGCAGAGGAAATGTGTAGACCTGGCAAGCTGTTTAATACCAGTAATCTTTACCCTTCTCCTTAGGGATGTTTCATAGTGAGCCCAGTAGCTGCCCAGAGTTTCACCATTTAACAGTTGTCCATCTCCCCTGGCCCTTTCCTTTCTGAAAATGTATTAACCTGGAGAGAGCGTGACAGGAGGAGGAAGGCTGAGCTTGGGTATCTGTAAGATTCTTTGGCATGCAACAGGTATCATTCCTTCAACATTATTGGAGGGTTTATAGAATTTTCAGTAATGAACCCTGAAATAATGCTGTTTAAGTCTGAAATTCCATTATATTTAAATTCTTCTAACTTGCCATGTTTGTGTTTTGGCTGTTTGATCGTTACAGACCCGCTCTTTGCTGGGAGTGTTTGAAGAAGATGCTGCTGCAATATCCAATTACATCAATCAGTTGTTTCAAGCCATGCACAGAATATATGATGCTCAGGTAGGGTTAATGAAATTCTTGAATGCATTATTAAGCTTTGGAACCACATTTCATGTTTCTTTAACTTCCATATGCTTTAAATGTAGAACTGAAATCAAGTAAGAATTAATGATTGCTTTTCTGTATGTTAGGGAGTGCTAAGACTAAATTCTTGTGATTCTTTTTGCAACAGAATTTTTTATGACAAGTGAAATTATATTCTCTGTTCTCTAAGTAACTTTAATATATTTCCCAAGTGTTTCTAAAATGTTGCACACACTAAAATGATCTCAGTGTGTATAATAGTATGTATCAAGTGGGAGGTTATTTTTTACCCACAATATATTCATGTTTCACTCATCTAGAAATAACTCAACTTTTATGCCAGAATCTTTTTTGTATGTTTTTCTAAAAATTTGAGTTAATCTCTCTATTTTTAATTTAGATGTATTTTACCTGTTTGACTTTTTATTGATTTTCATGTGTCCCTTTTTTTAAATCAGAATGAATTAAGTGCAGCAACTCATCTGACTTCAAAGCTTCTGAAGGAATATGAGAAACAGGTACTGCATAAATAATGTTGCCTGTGTGTGGTCAGATATTGTACTCAAAATCCTGTGTATTTCTGTGGTATTTTATCTCCCAGAGCACAGTGTAGAATGAATTTAGGTTTGGTCCAGATAAAAGGAACTGCTGTGGGTTGGTGGTTTAAATTGTTGCCGAAATAATCTACTGTCTTTATTTTAGTTCTTCCAGCTAAACCAGCTAAAGAATGAAGTTCCTCTTACCATGAAGAATATTAATAACTTTTGAAATATTTTACTCTTGGATTAGGTGTTTTTTGGAGAATTGCTTAGGGTAGTTCTTTTTGTTTTTAATTTATAAACCTGTTTACGCTTAAGTGCTTAAATATCAATAGTCCCAAAGAGAAGAGAATGCAATGCAATCTCCAAATTACAACCATAATTTGATCTGTGAGCATAATTCCATCTCTGAAAGCACAGACTATGGAATCCATAACTTTCTTCCCTCCTAACCTGTACTGTGAAGGGTTCTTTTTTTGTAGCTTTGTTGCTGGGTCCCCTTTTCTGAGATTAAAAATGTTAAAAACAAAAATTTGTTTCTTTTAAGAGGCTGCTGCTCCCTATCCTCCTTTTCCACCTAATGAGGTGAACTGCTTCAGTATATCTTAATTGTGTAATATTTTAAAATAATGGAATACCTGATATACTCAGGGAGATGATTAATCCAGTTTTGTGAATGGCACTGCAAGCAACATAACTCTTTTTGCCTTCTCAGCGTTTTCCACTCGGGGGAGATGATGAAGTCATGACTTCCACTCTGCAGCAATTTGCAAAAGTGATTGATGAGGTAAGTCCTTGTATGTGCTTTGCTAATGCTGTCAGGTACAGACTTTAGCTGCCTAATTACTCCTTTTTTAAGCTAGGAGGTACAGAAATGGCATTCATTTGTCAACAAGGTAACAATTAATTGTATATTGCAACATCTATTTAAAGTTACATAACCTTAAGATAAAGAATTAATTCAGCAAAATGAGGATACATTGCTGAAAAACACATAGTTTAACTCCTAGAGATAGAGCCAGAACCATGACACAGTGGCAGTTAGCAGCTATGTACATGAGGGTGTCTGTGTGCCTGATTTCAGTACCTGACTGACACAGGACCCTCCTGCTGTCTCTCTTGGATACTGACTCACAGGACACACAACTGAGCACCATTAAGAGCTGAATCAGGATTTTTGTTGTGATCCCTCTCCTCATTTAAACAGCATTTTAGGAGGAGGTTCACATTTTGTTCTGCCTCTGTGAGCTGTGAAAGATGGGCTGTGAGGTAGCTGGAGGGAAACTGGAGAAAGAAATGGACTAGTCAGGATGGATGAGGTTGGTTTTGGACATGATCCAGTAGCTTGGAAAAGTTCAGAAAAAAACTAAACTCTAAAGGTTTTCTATAAAAAACTGATGATGAGATCTGGAACCTAGGAAAAAGTAGCCTCAAAAGAAGGAACATGCAAAAATGTGTTTGAGTTGTACATGTCATCCTTGAGTGACATTGATGTCCGCCTATTGTGATTTGATTTGGTCTCAGCACTGCTTTCCTAAGATTTTCTTCTTTTGTCTTTTTCAGCTCAGCTCTTGCCATGCAGTACTTTCAACTCAGCTTGCAGATGCAATGATGTTTCCTATTACCCAGTTTAAAGAAAGGGATCTAAAAGGTAGAGGACTTGACCAAATACTGTTTTTTTCAACAGCAGCAACAATAAAAACATAGCATTTAATCTTCATAGCTCTTGTTTCACTAAATAGAATACACCACTTATTTTTCAGCTCTCAAAAGTATGCATCTCCCAATTTAAAAAGCAAAGTAAGTTATTTCTGTTCATGAGAGTATTACAGTTGAACTTAACATTATTATGGCTGCAACAAAAATATTACTTACATTAGGGAAGCACTTATCTTCTATTCAAGATGAACAATTAGCAGCTACTCAAAAATGTTAGGAAAGAAGAATTTTCAGATAATTTGCATTTTCATGAAAGATTTGTATATCAGATCATGACATGTGTATAATTGCTGGACTAAGCTCAAAAGGCAGAGTGCCAAAGTTGTAGTACTTACCTTATTGAGATTTAGTAATCAGCTCTGCTGGTAGCACAGGTGACTTCTTAGGTGCAGACATAAGGTGCTTCCAGCTTCTTACTTTTGTAATAATTGTACTTGTGCCTGGATAAAATAACATCTGTGTGATGATGATAGATTTTATTCAAGATACCAGAGTGAACAGACTCCTGTGGCAAATGAGCTTCCAAGTAGAAATTATAAGAGTTAAACCCCAAGTAACTTAAATATCCCTATTGTGAAGGTTCTAGAGTGGGTATACCTAAGATAGGAAGATCTGAAATCTAAATTGAAATAAAAATTACAAGTCTTTCATAAGTCTTCTGATTTTTCATGAATCTTGGAAAATACTTCTTTGGCAATAGTTCACAGCAAAATTATGCACTGAAAAGATTATGGTTTGGTTGGGGTTTTTTTTGAGCAAGAGATCATGACTTTTCCAAGGCTGATATTGCTTCTCAGGACCTGAAAAGTCTCCTGTTAGCACTTACTGAAGAGGCATTCCTGAGGCAATAATTGCCAATTACATTTTCCCACTGCAAGGTTTAGGCACCAGCTGGTGCAGTTTGTAATGACCCTACACTTCTGTATGGGCTTCACAGGCACTTCCTGGACAGGTTTTTTTTTGTATTTGCTTTACCATAAAGTTGATTATGGCTCTCTGCTGGTTTGTATTGTAATATGGCACAGACCACAGCCAAGATCAGAACAGGTGTAAGGTACTCTGCTGGTTCCTGTTCCTGGCACAATGAGGCAATAACCAGCTGGAACTGAGCTGATTTTAGCTAGCTGATTTGATACTGCCCATCTCCCATGCTTGCATTTCCCCAGCTCAAACCAGAACCCAGACTGGAACTGCAGGTGCAGTGATGATGATGACTTTCAAAGACTTTTGAAAGGAATTCCTCCTTACAGTATTACAGTACAGTTTTTTTGGTAAGCACAGAAATGATCCTCATGCCCCAGGCAGAGCAGATTTCCCTGGCCATGGAGTGCCTGTGCTGGTAGCTCAGTATGGTACAGGGTGTTCCCTTCAATTGCTCAGTAGTGAACATTACATGAGAAACTACTATATGTGAATGTTACACTAATAACAACTTACTGAAATTGTAATATGTTGTTTTTTTAGAGATATTAACTCTAAAAGAAGTTTTCCAAATTGCAAGCAATGGTAAGTGTAAAGTACTTAATCTTATCAATATTACAAGACAACAGTGTTATTGTAGGTTATTATTTGTCCTTAAATAGTGGAGTTAAGCTTGTAGGCTTAGAGTAACTAATTAAGGTGTAATTCTGAGTGATACTTGGGCACTCAACTTTCCTGGTTCACCTGTAAATCTCTGCTCTGTGTACTGAAGCATTAAGGCAAATTGAAAGGGTTTTTTCACAAAACCTTAAGTGTATGTATGATTATTAAATAATGTAGGATTATGACATCAAAATCACAAAAAGAGTAAGGTGCTAGCTTGCTTCTTAAAGACAGGACCAGATCAATAAAAAAAATTTACTTTCCTAAAATTAATTTCATAGTTCTCTTCCCTATTTTCAGAAGTAATTTTTTTAGCTGTCTCTAATATATCCATATTGAGAAATTATTCTTTAAATAATATTCTGCTTCTCTCAGTGAAAATTGTTTAATTGCTTTAGAAGCAAAAAATATTAGATACAGATTGTCATAATTGTTGCAGGGATGTGATTATACACAGACAAGAACTATTCCTAAAGGTGTTAATATGACAGAACTTTGCATTCAGCTGTCTGTGTAACACGGTGATATAAAAGGTTTTCTGCTCTGTTTCATAAGTCATTAATTTGTGAAAATGATCATAAATTCTCTCTTGATTGTTCAGACCATGATGCTGCCATTACCAGATACAGTCGGCTGTCAAAAAGAAAGGAAAATGAAAAGGTTTGTAAAACAAAATCTTAATATAAAGATTGTTTAAAGAAGACAAGAAATAATTTTAATTTCATATATATTTGTGATGGAACACAGTGTATGACAGATTCTGTGTGACATTTGATAGCTTTTAGCAGTCTAGACAGAAAAGCAGGTTTCTCCAATACCTGCCTGTCTGTAACACTGACAGTGCTTTGGGAATAATATTGTGATGTCATATTCAGTTTGTTTTGTGAAGGAATAACCACACTTTCCAGGTATTTGTATGTTTTTCACATATCTCATGTTTAAATTAGAGAAGTAGAATAGTACAATATGCAGCAGCTGGTGATAGAGGGTAGAACATGACTGGGTTTTTCCATGCTGGCTATAAAGCTGTCCACAGGGCATGTGATCAATGCCAATCTCAAACATTCCTTTTTTCCCTCCCCTTGTCTGTGTCTCTTCAGATCAAGGCTGAAGTTACAGAAGATGTATATACTTCAAGGAAAAAACAGCATCAGACTATGATGCATTATTTCTGTGCATTAAACACTCTCCAGTACAAAAAGAAGATTTCTCTGCTAGAACCCCTGCTGGGATACATGCAAGCTCAGGTAATTTCTCTGTTCACATCCTTGTGACACAAATGTCACTGCAATGCCAGCAGCAGCCTTCAAACACTCATTCTGCTGCTTTTAGTTACAGGCTTTGGTGGGAATGAGGGATGAAAACAGATTTCTCTGGGAAACTTTAACCTCCTATGATTTCATCTGTTAATTTTAAGTGGAGTTTTATTAATGACTAAATTCTCCCTTTTCCTCCTTTATTCTTTAAAGATAAGCTTTTTTAAAATGGGTTCAGAAAATCTTACTGAGCAACTGGAAGAATTTTTGACCAATATTGGCACAAGTGTACAGAAGTAAGTTGGCTTTGTTGAATTTTGAACTTTAATGAAGATTATTTTTTTCTGTTTCTACTTATTAATAAATTATCTTTGCTAATAGCACATTTTTTACCTTAGTGTTCGCAGGGAGATGGATTGTGAAGTAGAAAACATGCAACAAACTATAGAGGACTTGGAAGTAGCCAGTGATCCACTGTATTTGCCTGATCCTGATCCTACCAAATTTCCTGCCCATAGGAATCTAACAAGGAAGGCTGGCTATCTCAATGCAAGAAAGTAAGAGTAACTTGTTATTTAAAAATTCCAGACTATTTAATTTTGGGAAAGAAAAGCTAAAGAACCTGGAAATTTTTTTAAGATGTTAGCTATGCTGGTTTTATACATTTAGTTGAGTAAGTCACATAAGAGCTATTCTGTTTCTTTCTTTGGACTTCTTCATCTAGTTAGTATTAAATTGATATACTGATATAATTACTGATATAATTGATATACTGATATAATTACACTGATTATACACTGATATAATGTCATTCAGGTGCAAAGCACAATTATCCTGATTTTAGTCTAATTTTGCCTGAATTTTCACAGTTTAAAAAAAAAAGTTTGAGAGTGTAATTTCTGTGCATCCTAACTGGGAAGTAACAAGATTCCGTCTATTTGGATTGTTCTGGAAGTGTCTGTTAAAGCTTTGGGATTCAAATGACTAATAAAACATTGTAATTTTGATCTAAAAAAGGCAAAAAACACCCTGTTAACCAAAATACCCTTGGAAGGAGCTTCTGGATTCCATGCAGCAGTGGCTCATTGTCCACAGGAGGGAGCTGTGCCTCTAAGGAAGTACCACAGCTGTTTTTCACAGCTACTAAAAATAAATTGTAACATTTAAATTTTTTACTGTAATTTATATAATAAGCTCCAAAGAATTAAAAAAAAAAAGTCGATTACTTTTACAACAACAGTTAAGTAAAATACTTACTGAATGAGGCATTAATTTCTGCATTAGAACACAATTACAGCAGCTAACATGATAGAGTGTCTGGGCAAAAAGGGAGGCTGACTGAGGACTGGTTTTTATTTTTCAGTAAGACAGGGCTGGTGTCCTCCAGCTGGGAGAGACAGTTTTACTTCACTCAAGGTGGAAACCTGATGAGCCAGGCAAGAGGAGATGTGGCTGGGGGCCTTGTGATGGACATAGACAATTGCTCGGTGATGGCTGTGGACTGCGAGGACAGGCGGTACTGCTTCCAGATAACGTCCTTTGATGGCAAAAAGTGAGTGCTCCTACACTGCTGCTCCTGTCACAAACACTGCAGTCACTAATTAGAAAAGAAAGATGGTCTGCCTTTGGCCACATGTTAACTTGATATATTCTGTGGATATTTAAAAGCAAAATCTGGGATCTCCTTTTAACTGTGTTAACTGGATTTTTGTTTATCAACTCTATAATGTAGCTGAGTAGTATTTCAAAATAAGATTATGGTAATTAGTTGACAGTCACATATTATTGCATTTTGTGAATACTTAAGTATTACATGGACTCAATTAGAATTGTGTTCCTTTTCTGTTTCCTGTTGAAAGGAAAGCATAGGTTCCTCCCCATCCTAATTAAATGTTGACTGCACTCTGCACAAACAATCTTCAGCCTTTCATAACTTGTTCAGTGTGTAAATATGAAAATGTAATTTCTTGCCTAACTGTATTAGTGAGGCATTTACATACACAAAATTGTTTTCCATTCTCCTCTTTCAGGTCTTCAATCTTACAGGCAGAAAGTAAAAAAGATTATGAAGAGGTAAGCTTATAGGAGGTGTGCATGGAGCCCAGTGATTTTCTGCTGCACACAAAGAATACATTCCTAACCATGGCTGGATACTGCCTATTTTTTTCTGTTTCTACTTATTAATAAAATATCTTTGTTAGTAACACTTTGTATATCTTAGTGTTCCTGTTAGCTTCCTCCTTCAGATAAAAGTTGAAAAGCCAAGAACAGAAGCAAATGGTTTTGCAGAGCAGAGAGAGAAAGTAGATTCTAGCTTGCAGATGCAAGAAATGAGCAAATTCCACAAATTTTTATCATGTCTTGAGGAAACAATGTCCTCTGCAGCACAGAATAAAGAACAGAGAATCCTGATGAGTTTTTTTTAACTTCTTTGGAGTTGTTATTTAAGCTTTCTTTAGTTTTAGTATGACTAAAATAATTTTTGTGAGTAAAATCTAAAAGTGTAAGGTGCAGTATGCAGGTGGCAGTGAATTTAATGACAAGCTGTGTGTGCAGAATATTTGTCTGCCTGAATTTACCAAGAAAGTAGAAAAAGTGATGAAACAGCAACTCAGGTATTCAATCAAAATTGCTTAGAAGACATAACAGATTAATTTGGTTTTTTTTCTTCCTCTTTTTCAGTGGATATGCACCATAAACAACATATCTAAGCAGATATATCTAAGTGAAAACCCTGAGGTAACTCTACTAAAACTTATATTTATGAGTAATATGTTAACATTTATATTTATAGAGTAAATTCATATTGCTAAAAACTTACATCATGATTTTTGCTTACTAAAGTAGGGGAATTGGCCCAATAAAAAACTGTTTTATAACACAGCATGTATCTATATATAAAGTGTGTCTTCATGGGTTTTAGTTCACAGTTGAGGGCTGCATTTCTCAAATAAGATTTTTCTTTTGTTTTCCTGGCTACATTTGCTTATTTTGCCAGAGTTATCATTGGAGCTTTTCTCTATTGCTGCCTTCTACTAACATTGGCAGTATTTTAAGGCCAATGTGTTCATTTAAATTGAGAAAGTTAACATCAGGTTATGTGTTTGAAGAAAAGCTGGAAGAAAATGCTGGAGTTGTGTTGGCGAAAATTTAGGAATGCAAGATTCTCATGCAGGGTTGAGTTTATAACTTTAAATAAAATCTGAAAGTTTCTTTTGAGAAAAGTGTTTTGAGTTCTTGTTTGCCATCTCTGTAGGAGATTGCTGCCCGTGTGAACCAGTCAGCTCTGGAGGCTGTCACTCCTTCCCCTTCCTTTCAGCAGAGGCACGAGAGCCTGAGGCCAGCTGTGTAAGTGGAGCAACCAGAGACCATTTGAAGTGCACATAGAAAAAGAAAATCCTGGATGAAGTTCCAGGGGGGGAAAAAAAGCCTTACAAACCTACAAATATTTTTGTGATCAGAGCTAAATCTTTGATAGGCCAGAGGAAAATTTCCTGAACACACCTTTCACTGCTGAAGCACTGTTGAGCATCCATTGTCACAAGTAATCCCAATGCCAGCTGTGGACACTTTGGTTGGTTTCATCACAGCTGTTTTGTTGTGTGATTTCATGATGAGATTTTTCTTCATGTGTCCAATTCCTAGAAGCAGACCTCAGGTTTTATTACACTTAATATGTGATTATATATCGATGTTAAATCAATCTGATGCAATTATTAATAGAAGTAGTAACTTTAAGTTAAATTTGAAAAACAAAACATAGATTTGTTTGCTATACCCCGATCTTCAGGTTTTTAGTTTTTGTTTTGTTTTACATCTAAGGTTTGGAATATTGTATTGGTGTTCCCTGTGGTTTAATTAATTATCAACCAGCCTGAGTTCACACACCCTGACTTTGCCTTTCTGGTTTTGTTGCAGGCAGTCTCGTCCTCCTGCAGCTCGTACCAGCAGCTCAGGGTCCCTGGGCTCGGACTCAGCAGCTCTCTCAGCACTTTCCTTGGATTCCCTCGTTGCCCCTGACACTCCCATCCAGTTTGACATCATATCTCCAGTCAGTGAAGATCTGCCTGGCCAAGCAAAGTCATCAGGGCAATCGGGCAGGTAGGAAATGGAGAGAGAAGGAAAAAATCCCTAAAGTTCATGTTACTAATTCAAAAGCCAACAAATAAGAAAACCACATGTAAGATGCAGCTCCAGCACACACATTGCCTTTTTCCTGACTGATGTAACAAATTTTGCAGTGGCCAGTGGAGCAAAACAATTTGTTAAACTGTTAGTTGGAATTGTAAAAAAAGGCTTAATTACATCACTAGAGTCAAGGTGTAGTTTTCTATTTTGCAGCACCTTTTCTTGCTTTAACAGCCAATGCTTTTATTTATTGATTTATTTTAAACTTTTAGTTTCATAAAGTATTTTCCTTTCCTATTGCTTGCTCACCCAGCAGCTTGGGTTATTTCCTCTTGGAAACTCAAGAGAAATTTGGTAGCCCTGCCTCCAGGTGATGATGGCATACGATGACTCCTCTTAAGCTGAAAGGTGAGTGAAAATGGTCTAGGCTTCTGGAGTAATTCCACTTATGGACAACCTAAAATCATCTTCAGAGTTCATCCAAAACATAAAAGCATTTTCTCCTACTTATATTTGAGTGGGAGATGCACTAAAAACCAAAGACCTGTAAATCATCACTGCATTTCTAGAGCTGTATCTATAGAATTCAGATATGAACAAAATGTATTTGCAGATCCAGCTGCTCTTAACAACAACAAAACCAGCCAAAGAGATGAAAACTAATTGATGTGATTCTTGTCACAAAAATGTGTTGTATCCCCCTGCCTCTAGGAAAATATTTGTATTTTGAACTGCATCTCACAGATGTAAGAGTTGAAATTATATATAAAAAAATACTTTTTTCTTTGTTCCAGTTTTCTTTTTATTGTTGGTACCAGGATAAGCAGGTGGCCAACTAGATCCTTCAGAAGACACTGATTTAAAATAGACTTGAACTGCATTGCAGGAGGTGGAGAGTTTAGGCTTAGCTGAACCCCTGTGGTAGCCTGGTCCAGCTCAGTGGGTCAGAGCTGGGTGTCAGTAACCAAGGCTGTGGGTTCAGTCCCTGCATGGGCCATTCACTGCAGAGTTGGAGTCAATGATCCTTGGGGGTGCCTTCCAACTCAGAATATTCTGTGATGTCATCAGTTATAATTCTCATCTAGAAAATAATATTTTTCATGGCAGAAATGATAGAGTTGAGCTCAGTATTTTCAATTAACTATGGCCTTCAATAAAGAACTGCAGTGTTTGTACAGATAGGCAACATGTTTGTTATTAAAAAAGAAGTACTTTTCTTGGTTTCTGATACTGATGACATACATTTAAATTTTGTTTTTGCCTTTTGAGAGAACCTGTGAGATTTTGTATTTACTGTTCCAGTTTAATATTAAACAACAAGAAAAGTCTGAGCAATACAAGATGCTGGTAGAAAAAATTTGCTTTTACTATAATTACACAGGTCAGCCTTTAATGAGATGGGTCTTGATTGAATCCATGTTATCTAAACATTGTAGCAATGCCATCTTGCCTTCAATCTAGAAAAATTTAATACTTTAAACCAGACATCTCTTAGTTAAAACATTTCTGATAATTGATAAAATAAACTGGCAGTCAGTATGTGTAACTGAACAATTTTTTTTTCTTATAGTTCTGAAATTTGTTTTTAGAACACTAACTATTGAGGTAACACTTTCATTAATCCCATAAAAAACCTAATTTGAACTATACTGACTCCTTGCCAATAGCTTTTACTATCAATCATCCAGAGAGAATGAGTCTTTTCCTCTACATATTTTAAATAAAATGTCCTCATTTCCTGTGCTTATTCCTTTACTGTTTTTGAAAAATGCAGACTTGGAAGCCTAGAGTATTTTCACTTTTCTCTGTAACTGATAGTAATTCTGTCTCTGAGAGCCAGAAATAGCCACATTTCTCTTGACTCTCTAGGAGTAAAACCCCAGTGATGTTTTGAGAAAGCTGCATTTGAAACAAACCCAGGGGCTTCTCTTGAGTAAGTAATTCAACACCTTGACATTGAGGAGAAGTGGGCGCTCTTATGGAGTACTGAAAGGGCCTGGTTTTTGGCTGTGCTTCCTGAAGCTGTTCTGTGAAATTTCATTCCCTAAAACTTTACATTTTCAAATATGACCAAGGTTTAGGTTTGGACTTAATTCAAATATTAAAAAAAAAAGTGAGCAAAACTTTCTATGGCAGCAATAGGACAATAATATCTGGTATTTCCCCCATAATGTGGAAAATGACCCTCAAAGACAGCAAGTTATGTGTCATTCCTGATAGAATTGCTTCTCCTTATGGCTCATGAAACATTATTCCTCCAGATGACAAGTTTGTGAACTCACTACATGTTGGTATCTGACACAGCATGAGACTTCTGCACTGTCCATGAGTGGTTCCTGCAATCTGACTCCTGCTTTAATGTTTTCATTTTCTGATAGACGCACCAATCCTTTCGGGGAATCTGGAGGCTCAAAGCCTGAAACAGAAGGTAAAACAAAATTTCACTTCAATGCAAAATAAAAATCAGTTTTGACAGTTCTGTCTTCATTTCTAGCTTCTCTCTTCTAATTTAATACCAGTTTTAAAATGCTTAATTACATTGCAAGGTATTTGATTAGTAAAGTTAAATCAAACTACTGTCTGAAAATCTGCTGTAAAAAGGATTCATTGCATCTTTTGTATTCATTAACCAAATGCAAAGATGTGTGGTGTGCTGTGTAGTAACTGCACCTCTAATTGCTAAGTAGGAACAATCTCTTTCCAAGTTAGGAGGAGCTTGGAGTTTTCCTGACTGCAGTCCACCTTGGGTTTTGAATGGGAAACCCAAAGTGGAGTTTGTTTTTTTTCAATACTTTTCTCTTTTCTTAGATTCAATTCTTCATCAGTTATTTATTGTGAGATTCCTTGGCTCTATGGAAGTGAGGTGTGATGAAAGCCCAGACGTTGTTTATGAGACAATGCGTCAGATACTCGCAGCGCGCGCCATCCACAACGTCTTCAGGATGACAGAGTCACACTTGTTAGTCACTTGTGACTGTTTAAAGTAGGTTTGCTTCCTGACTTCTACTGATGTTTATTTACAGAATGATTTTCTTTCACCTTGGTAAAATTTACTTTCTGGTTTGTCTTTAAAAACAAATTTTTAGGTTAATTGATCCACAGACACAAGTTACAAGACTACGAGTAAGTAACTTCCCATTTTAAGATAAATATCCAGCAATGTAATTCTTTTACTTTAAAAATATTATTATTAGATGGTGGCAAAAATCACTCATAGCATGAGATTTCCAGCCAAATTTCCAGTGCTATTAGGAGACCAATGCAGACATTTAGAAATATTTGCAAATCAGGTTTAGGGGAGTGATTTCAAGAGGTCAGATTGGCTTTTGAGACTCCCTGTGATCTGAGGGGGTAAAATAGTAAAGAGAGAAGATTAATGATGGAGTCGCATTAGTTCTGTAGTCCAAGAGGGTTTGTTTGCTGTTTGGTTTCTCTGGTTTGTTTTGAGGTTTTGTTTTTAATGTTTTGACATTAAGTTCAAAAATGCTCCAAGGCTGTCACCTTTTACAAGTGAGGTACATCAAGTGAGGGTATGTCCCATATACAAAATGCACACATCTAATTCCAGGAAAACTCATCCTTTCAGTTCAGAGCAGCTCTGGTAGGGACTCTCAGAATTTTTAAGCTTATTGTTTGATGAGTCTTAAAAAGATAATTTGAAGTCCAACCTCTTTTAGGAATAAGAATGCAAAACAGTTTTCTTGTAACAAACTAATGAAGGTATGGGATGGGGTTTTTTTCTTGCTTATATAATTAGGAGAACTGAGCTGTAGAGGTTTTTGAGAAGTAGTGCCTTTACATCAAACTAAATATTGAAAGCTTAGTCACAAATGTAACGATAATGAATGATTAAAACAAAATAAAACAGGAGTGTATGCACTTTTAGGAAGATGACTGAGTCACACTGCAAATGTAGTCCCTTTTTCTTTCATGAAGTCTGTTTTTTGACATTTGCTTGTCTTTGGAATAATTTAGTCCTTGCTGTCTAATCTGTTTGTGCTTCATTTGTTTGGGTACTTCTTGTGCTGTGGGTGTGCATTAATTAATGTGCAGTGTATAGAAACCTCGTGTGGCACATCTTTGGAGTCAGTTTTAATGTCTCCCTGTCTGATCCTTTTGGCAGTTCCCTTTGCCCAATGTAGTGCTGTATGCTACACACCAGGAGAACAAGCGCCTGTTTGGATTTGTGCTCAGAACCTCAGGAGGGAGAGTGGAGAGCCGCCAGACCTCCATCTGCTACATATTTGAGTCAAATAATGAAGGGGAAAAGGTATTGGTGATGGTTTTGCCATGTATCAGTTGTGAATATGGATTCCAAGATGCTAGATCCATTCAAACCTGTCATTTTAAGAGCCTGCAAACTCTTTTTTGTGCTGTTGTATTTAATTTGGGATGCTGGCTGAAATTTAAAGGCATTTTTAATTATTTCCATCTGTTTTGTGTTTAGATTTGTGACTCTGTTGGATTGGCCAAACAGATAGCTTTACATGCAGAACTGGTAAGAATCTTTTTGGGGCAAAGGATGCTGGGGAATGGAAGGAAGAGGGTATATTTAATTATGTGTAATAGATTGTATTCTGCAAGATGCCTCTAGATGCAGCAATACTGTTGTATATTTTAAGGGACTTTTTTTCCTAGAATTTAAATTCAAAAGAAAAGACTGACCAATATCCACTGTAGAACAATATTCAATATAGGATTCATTTTGCCACTTTTAACAACCATACCAGTCCTTTAAAAGCAAAATATTCAAAACAGTGAAGTCAACAGTCTTGAGCAAACTCATATCAGTCAGTAGTGTCCCAAACATCCCAGGCTCTTGTTACTGACTTTATTTATATTTTTCTCTTTAGGATCGAAAAGCCTCAGAAAAGCAGAAGGAAATAGATAAAGTCAAAGAGAAACAGCAAAAAGAACTGAATAAACAAAAGCAAATTGAGAAGGTACCTTTCATCATTATTTCTTAATGTTAGGTTTTTTCTACTTACTTTATTTTGCAGTTTTGTCCAAAGCTGTCCACTGATAGTATTAATAGATCATTAGAAATCGTAATAATGGTATCCTGTGTCCATTGCAGATGGCTTTAAGGGTAATACTCTTTTTCTGATTTCTCAACCCCTCTTCTCAATGCAGGACTTGGAGGAGCAGAGCCGGTTGATAGCAGCTTCCAGCAGATCCAACCAGAGCAGCACAGAAGGACAGTTTGTAGTCCTTAGCAGCAGCCAGTCAGAAGACAGTGATTTAGGAGAAGATGGAAAAAAGAAGAGAGAATCTGAAGCCTAAGGTTGCTTGCTTCATTAAAATTGGAATCATCCATATATCTGGTGAAATGGCACAAGTTCTACAAGAGGTGAAATGTAGGTGGAGGGTCTGTCGTGTTATAGAAAAGACTTCACAATATATAGACCCTGTTATGCCTTGATTTTTCTTTCTCAGTTGAGTGATTCCTATTTCCTGTCAGTATAATTTCTCTTGTATGCCAGATGAAGCAGGTGATGCTGCCATGTTGATTACAAACAAATGTTTTCTCAAGGCTTCTCTGCAGTATGGGAAACAATGTGGGTGATTTCCCCACTTAGTTCTGTGCAATTGACTGCTTTGGAAGCAAAACTGAAAACCCATTGGCCTTCAGCAGTAACACTGAAATTTGTTCTTTACACTGCAGTAGGGAGAACACCTTGCTGGAAACAAAAGCGGATGTCCAAATAAGACAGTGCTAAGCTTTACCCAGTTTGTTGCACATACCTGTTCCTAGATTTAGAAAGAAGGATCCCCTTTAACATCAGTGAGATGTGCAATAGTTCCAACAGAAGGATCTTTTTTGTTTCATTTTGCACAGTATGATACTGTCTTGATTTCTTTTATTTTGGTGAATACAATGCCAAAAAAACTTATTTCAACAGGAGAAAAAGATACTGTCAGACCTAGATAAGAGCTGATGAGATGCAGTTGAACTTTGTTGCATGAGGAAAAGCATTCCTCACCAAATGATAATTCATGTATATAGCCTTGTAGCACAAGTGCCATGTTCTTGGTTTTTCCCCAGTACTTGGAATAAAAAGCTGTAAACCTTTGAGTTCATTTTTATAAAACATGTGTAGAGTTGCAGGAAGATCTTGAATTCCATCATATGAAAATCTTCTGCATATGGAAATGCCTTGCTGCTAATACTACATCTACTGGAAATAAGTTGAGGCTCTTTAGTCTTTTTATGATTTTGCAAACAGAATTTACCAGTTCTAAAGTAAGAGATGATACCAATCCTACATCCTAGAGTCAGTTCTGGAAAGCATTTTTCAAAGTGATGTCTGTTTACAGCTTGTAATCTGCACTCCATATTCCATACCCTGTGTAATATTTATTTTGTATAGTATTAGATGTGCATTCACCTTTTGAACCAGAAGAGAAATCTTGTTTGAAGAGAAATATTTATTTTTGCACTAATTACTATAAATATTAAAATCCAGAGGAACAGAAGATAGCTCTCTAATAGTGGCATGAAAATAACAGGATATGTAGAGAGAAGAGAATATACTTATATTCCAAGTTATAATATAACAGTTAGGAGTGATTTACAGTTCATTGCAGGGCATTTCTGGTGTTCAGGAATGGAAGCAATTTTCAGAGTATCTCCTCAGCAGCTGGTGGTGGCCCAGCCCTTCCTGGCTGGAGCTGTTCAGTGCTGATGAAGTCAGTGAGGAATCTCAGGTCGTGTCTGCTGGATGGCTGTAGGTGCTCAGAGGGCTCTTCTGACTCCTGGGAGTGCCCTGCATTGGCCAAAGCCTCCTCCTGCCCTTGGTGCTGTGACTTTGTGTGCAGGAGTTGGTGGCCTCAGCTCCTGTGACAGGAGAGAAGGGCAGCAGTGCCTGGGCAGGAGCACAGGCAGCTGGAGCTGCAGAAGCTCTGGGCAGAGGTTTTACACCACAGCAGGGTTTTTACACCACAGGGACTTGTGCAGCCACCAAAGGGCTCTGCCTTGAAAAAGGAGGGGAGGAGGCTGAGGAACAGAGGGCTGCCAGGTTCTCTTCCTGAGTTAGTAACCAGATCCTCTTCCAGTGTGATTTTCATCCCCATAGTAGCCAGTCACTTGTAGAAATATCTGCTTTTGCTGTTGCCCAGTTAGGTCACATAGTATTGCCCTGTGGCTGGATTTAGCTGGCACAGTGCCACATGGACCACACCAACCTGAGACTTCTTGTAAAAGACAGTGGCATTTTTATTTCATATCTAGGCTTCCAATCTCAGCTCCCATTTTTAAGAGACTATTTTTATTCTTGACAACAAAAATGTACAGAGAGGCACTAAATCAAATTTTTTCCCTTTTTGTGCTTAAATCAAGGCTTACAGAGAGTGGCAAGGCAGTTTGTCTCTGCAAATTATTCCAGTTCATGTTTGTTTATGTTTGTTTTTATTTACTGATATTTGTTTTCTATAAAATAATATCACAGGGTAGCTCAAGGTTCCTGTGTCTTACTTGTATCTTTCTCAAGTATTTACTGAGGATGAAGCAGTTTGGAAACAGCACAGGGACCTTATGAAATCAGTGATCTCTAGTGTCTAGAATCCAGTCCTCAGCTTGTCAGAGAAGGACTAATTGTGTTAAGCACTGGAGCTGCGGTAGCCCAGGCTCCAGAGGGAGGACAGATAATAGATAAGCACTCTCATGAAAAAGCATTTCTGATGTGCAGCCTGTTTTGCATTAGCCTTATTGAAGAAATGTCAGAAAATAGAAATACTGTATTTTTTTCAAAAACTGTCATTACTCATATAGATATAAATCTGCAAAGATGATGAAGAAAGGCTGATAAAGTTGGCAGGTGAATTTTTTTGGATTTAGCAATAAATATTGGAATTACTCCATTTGCTTTTCAAGCTTTCCATATATGCTATTAAACAGCTTTCTAAAACAGACACCGTAGGAGTAAAATACATTTCACTTCTGTTGGATGATTCTCATCTTAACCACTAAAAGATTGATATGCATGAATGAAATGTAGGGTTGATTGTTTGCCCATGTAGGGGAGTTTCACTGGTGCAAAATGAGCAAGAAAGTACAAAAGCATCTGGGGTAATGATGAAAGCTGCAAGAGCAAAGGGATGTCTGCAGAGCTGGGTAATGGTAATTGAGTTATTAGGGGAGTGAGAACGACTGAGCTTTGCCTAGGGAGGATCACACAGGTTGTAATTAGAACTATTTCAAGGCAAAAACAGATGCTGAGTTTCATACATGATCTTTTTTCCTATAAGGTTTAGAACTACTTCATTAGAAAACAACTTTGTTGAAAAAAATCAGAACGATGCTTGGTATTTTCCATGAGAGTATGTAACAGTTAGTAGGAACACCTCATGGTCTGCTGGGAACTGCTGTGGTAGAATTGCACCACCAGAGTATTTTATTATTGTAACTAAATTACTAAATGGTTTCCTTTACTAATTTACAGGAGAAACTCTCCTGTTTATTATTTCCTACTGTCTTTTATTCACAAACTGATCTTTCAAGCACCTTTGGCTGAAGCTGTAGTTTGCTTCATGTGCATCTACTATTACTTCAGTCACTCCTGAAAATATTCTTTCAAGTCCATGATTTTGAAGTGACTTCATGTAGGTACTGAATTGGCAGTGTTGTTCAGGACTGTTACTAATTGCAGCCTCAAAATTACTGCCAATTATCCCTTAAGTAAGAGGATATGAAGCTCATTACACCATTTAGATCTATACACTGCAGACCAAATCAGTCTTGCTGTCAGCTGTTTAGGCTACATACATTCTTTGTGTATGTAATGGCATGAATATCCAAATATATCAGGTGTGCTTATGGGTATGCATTTTATTGCATTACAGATAGCTGGCACTCCTCTGTGCTCACTGCTAGATTTGGCCAAGTCCAAACCAGAGGACAAGGTCAAAGTCATGAGCTACTAAAACATATGTAACTGGATATGATCAGGTAGTGAAAAGTCAGCTGCATGTCACAGTCTTACTCCTTTAATCTTGATACAATTTTGAAATTGTATCAAGACAATTTAATGCCTAACAGTAAAGTAATATTTCAGAGTTAAGAAACATTCCCCTTCTAAAGGGCTGTCAGATTTCCTCTTTATGTGGATGTAAACACAGAGCTGAAAACTGTGAAACAGCTGATGCTATTTATGAAGCTGTAATTGACATAGATGAATATAAAGAAATAAATTTGACTGTTTAGGGTAAATTCTGTCTATGCTTGAGGTAAATACTGATTAACTAGTTGCACAGCATTTGGGACAAGCCAATGGTGAAAACCATGCTACAATATAGTCTCTTATTATTTAGGAAATAGTTCACCTAGAGAAAGAAAACTGCCACTGCTTAGTGAATTTAGCAGAGATATTGTCTAGTGTAACAGCAAAAGCTGATACTTTATATTCTTTCTCTCGCTCTATATTACAAAAATTCTTGCAAGATAATTAGTCCCCAAGGCTTCTTGTTTTATTTAAGCACTAAGTTGGCATTTTTTTCCCTGCCACAGTGGTATCTAAGTACTCATGACAAGAGTAAGTCAGTGTATCATTGTGAATGCACTTGTATCCCTAATGAAGTTTATATTGCAAGCCGAGGATTTTGTACAACCTTTCTGGTCATTTTTATAATAGAGTTGAGTGGTCAAATTCTTATGATGATGTTCTGGATTGGTCCTGTTCTGGTGAAGTGTAAGTGATTTTTGCAGTGTTTGAGACTGACTTGCACATTTTCCCTGAATAGCTGTATTAAGAACAACCAATGGCATATTTATGTCAACTCTGATTGTTGTGTCTTAATCTTGGAAACATGGATAGTAACCCTATTGTACCAGGGCTCCAGTCAGCATTTTGTATTTTAAATAAAAGCTTACTGTAGTAACTTTCTGGGTGAGACTTGTACTGATGCAAAAGCCTCCTGCATTGTTCATCATACTGACTTTGAGGAAGTCCCATTACTGGTGACAGGATGTGTTCCCTTCCATTAAAATAAGTTCTGACATGCAGGTAGTCAAGTGTAGCTCAGTTCTCTTAATTTTTATAGTAATAGCCAGATAACCTCAGAGGAAATTGTTATACTTGGGAATGCTCTTAACCCATTTTTGCAACAATCAGAGACTGAAGGTGAGCAGGAGCTGTGGCAGCTGGCTGGGCAGGGCCCATGGTGGGGCAGTGAGGGCTCTGCAGAACAAGCTGAGTGCAGAGGCTCTACCAGCACAACCATTACCAGGGGCATTGGACATATCTTCACAGGCTGAGTTAGTTTATTATGGGATAAACACCATGTAAAAAACCATGGGCCATAACCACATTAAGGTTAAATTTGTATTTTATAAGGTTTGTAGATTTTTCTGGGGAAAAGCAGACTTTTGAATTCTGTAACTTCTGTGATAAAGATGCATGTATAACTAGAAAAAAAAAATCTATG